CCAGAAAAATCTTATAAAATAAGAGATCTGAAGAGTGCTCAGTAGATCTTTTTGATGTGGGTAGCCCCCAAAGAATGATTTGTGGTGTTTCATTTTATCTATACATTATTTTTTATCAACCAGCAGACAAATTTTAAAAGTAATATAACCCAATCAGGAGTAAAATACGTACTGTTCCAGACATTCTAACATCAACAGGTTAGTTTAATCAAAATCTTACTGCTGAACACAAGCTTTTCTTTAAAGTAGCATTAAAGTAGTAGTTAATCTAATGCAACTTCCTGATTTGCAAAGCTGCCAAGGGTGGGGCACAGCTGTTAGTGAGGTGATGTTTTACCTGATCACCTGTATACACCAAACAGGATCTAAGATTTCAAAACAGGATCAGGGCAATATGATATTCAAAAGATTAATTTGTGAAAAAAAATTGCAGCATGGCTAGACAAAATCTGACTGTGATAGTAAAGCCACAGCAATTCTGCTCCCCAAATACAATCTTTATAATCTTCTTCCTCAAAATCCGTCTTCTTAAACTCAAAGGCAGTAATTCGTTTGTTACAGTGTATTTGTTAGCTCTCTGAAACAGCTGTATGTTTAGTTCCATTCTTCTGCCCTTCCCACATCCACTTTTATATATATTTTTTCATATATTTATCTAATTCCTTTTCAAAAGCTATTAGAACCGTTACTTTAATCATCGTTTTTGGTAGATATGTCCATGTCTTACTAACAATAATCTGCAAAAAAAAATCCTTCTCACTTCTTCCTTTGTATTTTGAAATTAACATCTTTGTCTCTGGGTCCCAAGGCTGTGGGTTCAAGTTTGTCTTAGGGACTTTGAGCTCATGGTCCAGACAGACACTCCAGTGCTGGAAGAGCACTGTGTTATTGGAGGACGAGATGTTGCTGCCTGTACAGGTGGAGGTTTTTTAAAAAAATCATATCGTTTGAAAAGAGAAGGGAGTATACCCATACAAGCAATTTTCCAGTTAATTTTGTCATCCACCTCAGGAGGCTGTCCGTTCCAGCACCACTTTGCCTTGACACTGCAGTTCAATGCTGGAAGAGTGCTATGTTGTCAGAGATGATGTCCTTTGAATGAAAGGTTAAGCTAAGGTACTGTTTGCCTGTTCAGTTAGATATTAAATATCTCATGGCATTATTCAGAAGGAGAAGAGGGTTTTTCCCGGTGTCATGGCCATTAATCCTCAGATAAAATTGGTCAATCAATTCATAGCTGTTTGTGAATCAATGCTGTGTATAATGTTGCCATGCTTAAATACAAAATACAATCACTTCAGAAACTCTGAAGAGCTATAAGATATTTACAACATATCAAATGCATTCATTAATGCTTATATGATATATGCTATATCAAATGCAAGGACTATTATTTATGCCGGGTTAAAGCTTTTACAAGAGGTACATTTTGGAGGGACATTGTTGTATCAAAATATTTTCAAACAATTTATGTTTCAGGAATTACCAGCCAGGCTGCTGTTTGTGGGATACACTCGTGCCCTATTATACATTGTATTTACTGCAGCAATAATGTAGGCAATCCATTTTTCTCATATTTTATGGAATTGTTGAATAAAACAAATGTTTGCTTTGGCAGAAGCTATTGTGGCACTCTTTCACCCATAATGCATCCTAGTTTACCGGTTCCACTGTCAGACCTTATTCATCAATTGAGCTGAAATTTTTAGTTAAAAAAATGCTCCTGTTGGGGGTCACTGGTCCCAGATGATGTTAATCAGTGAGGATTATTCCCCCAGCTTGACATGAGCACACGTCCTTCCCTCAGTCTGGTGACTGTAGAAAAATGACTACAAACATCCTGGTGGAGAGGTAATGTGGACTAGAAACAGTCTTATCAGGCAGGAAGCAGAGAGCTCTGGCCACATCCGGCACTTCAGTTCAAATTCCCAAACTCAGGCAAACACTCATTGACCACGATTAGACCTTCTCATTCCTTGTTACGGCAAAATCTGTTAAACAGATTTCAGTGGAAGCTCATTTCATGAAGTGCCTTTAAATTGAAAAGTGCCATAGATTTCACACATCTATATTTGATCCACTTTCTGGATTCGTATTTAGAATATTCGTCTTAATTTTATGATCAAATTGTTCTGGAAGTTAAGTTTGAGAAGTGACATATTTTTATAGGCACCATTTGATCATGGACTTTGAAAGCTAAACTAAGTAAAACATTAAAGAGTGGAACAGGAAAAGCCCCGCACAAGTTCAGGAATGTGCATGTGTATCAGGAAATCAGACTCGCCTGGTTTAATGTTTTATTATTGTTTAGTTTCCTTGTCAACAAGGGAATGTGGTCCAAGTGGTGAGTTACAGCATCTCAGCTTGGCACATGAAGTGAGCTGTAGGGTTACAATCTTCACATGGTGTGCTTCCAATCTCTGCATGTTGTCAAAGGGAGAAATCTAGTGGAAGCTAAGCAGGCACACATAGGCCAAGGTGATTTCAAGCATCACCTAGTTTTGAACAGAGCCATCAAGAATACCAAAGTTCTGTAAACATAAAAGAATCGGGCCAAAGAATTGCCAGCTTCAGACCAAGAGGAAACTAAGATTTGGGAAAGGAAAAAGTAGCTGAATGTTTTAGCTAAATATGTCAATGGGATTCCCTGAACTGCTATGTTATGTTGTCAAGTGACCAAAACATCCATTGGCATTCTCAAACATTAAACGCTACAATTTGGCTCCGCCACCTCAATGATGTGACCTTGTTGAATTTGATGACCTGCCTTTAGAGTTTTTCTGTCAATCAGATGCCAATTTTTTTTTGCCTAGGATCCCATCTCCAGCATTGACAATGGGACTACAAATGCTCAGGACCCTTAAAGTTTTTCTTTAAAAGAAAGAAGTTAAAATACAATTTATTTACAGTAGTATTACAAGAGAAGGAATTGGAAAAAGACAAGAAAAGTAAGAGTATTCAAAATGTTTATTCTTACTTAAATTAATGGTTTACTATTTATAATTACAGCAATAAAGCAACTAACATCATTGAATAACCTATTTACCGTCATATCGTATTCAAGTAATGAGGAATTCAGAGTAAAGTGTACATAATTTATAACATATTTTTAAATGTGACAGTATTTAAAGTGTAAATGATTTAATGTTTTTAAGCTTATAATAAGAATCCTTGCATTTGATATAGCGAGTTATTATGTTGATGAAATGTCTCAAAGCTTTTTCCATGATATGTTGTAAAGTGGTGGGACTTGTTTATTTTGCAGCAAAGCAGCAGTCAATTTGCACATAGCAATGTCCCACAAACAACCATGGAGCGAATGACAAATTTTATTTGGGGGATTACTGGCCAGGACACCATGAGACACCCTTTTCTTTTCAAATAGTCCTGATGCGGGGCCCGATCGTGGTTGTTTCCTGATTGTGAACCCACAATCTTCTGACTCAGAGACGAGAGTGCTACCAACTATGCCACGCTTGGTAAATTGCAGAAATCATAAATGTTGGCAGGTTATGGTGAATGTGCAATATGTATAAAATCTAGAAACACTATTTGCTTGGCTGGAATGTACAACTAAATTACTTAACAGTAGAAAGTCTAGTGAACGCAGGTAGCAAAATGTTGGAGTTTTCAATTTCTTGTTTACACAATGGAAATATTCATTTAATAGAAGTTCACAGGAGTGAAATTTACTGTATCTGATAACTGGAGAGGTTAAATCCAGCCCGAATGCTGAACATGGGTGGGGAATCTATACAATTCTGGTAGATGGATCAAGAGCATCAGTATCAAGAAGATCACCATGCAATGTTACCATCTGAGCTCAATACTTAAAGATTTCTAAAGCTTTGAATAAGAACAGAGACACATTTTGGTATTATGGGGATTTGGCCACCTTGATTCTGTGGGGTTTTGAGAGAAAATATTCAAAGTAAATAGGTATATTCATTGTAATGTCATGTGCTTCATGCAGATCCAGAATATCTCTCACATCTTAGACGCCATGGGGCAAGAGAAATGAAAAGTAAATAAAGTATATAATAATAATAATCCTTTCATTTGATACAGTGCCTTATCACATCTTCGGGACATCTCAAAGCGCTTCACAGAATATACTGGAAAGTTCAGTGACTGTGTGTCTTGTGGGCAAAACGCAGCAGCCAATTACACTCAGCAGTGTCCCACAAACAGTGGAAAAAGAGGAAAAATAGAAAAAAAAATAGGAAAAAAAGAGAAACAACAAAACACAAAAGAAAGAAGCAAAGAGCGAAGGGAAATGAAGAGGAAAAGGTTGCATGTGTTATTGGGATCAGCACGCTATCTTTTCAGCTCTGGCACATGTATAAATGAAAATAATAATCCTTTTCAATATTCTCAGATAGATGAAAATAATAATTCTTGTAATTGATATAGCACCTTATTGATTAATTGAAACGGTTCAAACACTTCACAGATTTGCACAGTAAAGTGTAGTGACTGTATGTCCAGATGAAGGGATCAAAATCTCTTCTCTGTTAAAAGAGTCGAACATATATATAATGACAGTTGTTGAAGAGCAGAGGGAGCTTTGTGCTACATCAGGATGTGCTACATTTGGCCTCGATGCTAATGTTCGGGGTTTTAAAATCCCTCTGTACTGAGATTCAACACTTAAATGAAAATGTGGAAGATGTAAAAAAAAAATGAGAACTGAACCACAAATAGGGCAAAAGAGAGAGCAAAAGAAGCTGTAGGAAAGAAAATCTGTCAAAAAAATAAAAATGGTAACAAGACACAAAGCGATGGACACAGTATATAACCTGGGTAAATAATAAAAATATTACAATATAACCTTAAACATCCTTTTTAGGTATACAAATGGAAACGTTAGAAGTGTGTGAAAATAGCTTAAATGTTTCCAAACTCTTGGTGCATTCATTCACAATTATGCGTCTGAAGAAAAATACACAGGAAAACTGGAATGAGATACAAGTTGAAAAAAAAGTATAACCAGGAGGAAATAGATACGATTATACTTTAATTGAGTAAAACCCAGGAAGACAGCACTTGTTCATCTCAACCAAGAATGAGGATGTTGTGAGATGAAAATCAAATATGTAATAGGTAGAATCAGATAACGTTATTATTTTATTATATTATTAAGGAATTATTATTTTAAACATGATGTTATTTCCAGGTGAAGTTCACACATTATCCATTGCTTTTGTAAATTATTCCACCCTTGGGCACATAAGGCACCCGATTCCAGGCAATGCAGTTTTGAAGCAGTCACTAAGCAACAACGCTGAATGGTTTAATTTCATCATACTTTCCTTTTGTGGAAGGCAAGTGCCTTTAGATAGATTGCTTTAAACCAGAAATAAAACGGTAACAGGAAGAGAGGTCTTTAAGCACTTCTCAGCAACTTTAAAACAATCTAGAATTTAAATTCATGAAACAATTATTAATACACTAATAATTGGTGAATCATTGATTAACAGATCAGTTAATCCACAACATTCAGGTATGCTTAGAATGCAATAAAACAGAATGCTGCATACAGTCAATTGTCTTAAGAAAGCTAACAATAAACAGAAACAAAGCAAGCTTTGGATATTTAAATATATCTTGCAAGCTCCTTACAAGCGCAAGCAATTTAGCCTAAAGTTTAGAGAGAAATGTTCCAAGAGTCAAGCAGCCTCAGCCTTCCACTTTGAAAGTGTTGTAAAAATCTGCTTCAAACTCCCCCAAAAATGTTTTGGCACTTCATAATTTATGGAAATCATTCTTTAGATTGTTTTGGCACCCTGAGGAAATGTCCTTGTCCAGAGAACTGTGGTAAATAATACTGTTTTGACTGGAAAGAGTTTGCTCTAGGAACCACTGTAGTTATTGTAATAGGCTGCAGTAGCATCTGCTAAAACAGATATAAGGCTTCTCTCTGAACCTGTACCTCCTGATGGATTGTCTTCAGATGAATGTTCATTGATTGCCATCTCTTCCGGATTTGAACGAATGGAGGTATTCAAGTATTGGTCAAACTCATTGCGGTCCACTTCTCCTAAAAGCTCAGCTTGGCTGATGTGTTCCAGGCTATCTAGATGATGAGGGGGAGAAAGGTGGACAGAGGTATTTGCATGTACAGAATGGAAGGGAGGATGGTGGATGCGGCTGTAATAGGAGGGTGGAGGTGGGCGGCTGGTTACAGGATGCATCATGGTAGATCTAGTCTGGGAGATTACGATCTGACTGAGGTGTCCACATTGGATGGGACTTTGACCGTATTCTGAACAATATGTTCCTTCAGTCATCTGGGGACGAGGATCATCTGGACATTGAGGTGGAAAGAAGCTGTGATCAGCATCGATGACATCCAGAGGGGACATCTCAGGGGTAGGTAGCCCATAGTTGTCAAAGCTGTTGTTTGTGGTCTGCGTTTCCCTGAATCTGCTGATTACAGGAAGTCTTGAGGCCGATGAATAGCTTTTATCCTCCTCTTCCTCCAGGCGTCCCCTATAGGCTCTGCCGCTGGGGACAGGTGGCTGATCATGGGGGAAGTTGTTGAGGAGGAAGCTCGGGTCGACCCGTTTACACAGACGTTTGATTTGCTTTTTCCTCCGAGGTCTGTATTTGTAATTGGGATGATCCTGCATGTGCTGCACTCGTAATCTTTCAGCTTCTTCCACAAAAGGTCTCTTCTGTGTAGGAGCGAGCGCCTTCCACGATCTGCCTAAAATACAGCCCACAATTTCAATTAGAAGTAAAAAAAAACTGACTCTCAACAAACACCAATCACATGATACGCACATATTGTAACCTATATAATTGACATTTTCACTTTCTCCTATCAAATTTACATGTTATTAATTCTACCCCTGCCAACCCCCAACCCCCCCAAAAAAATATGGCCACTCAATCCATGACTGTTTGTGGGTTACTGCTGTGTGCAATTAATTCACTGCCGCATTTCGCCCACAAAATACAGTTAATCCACTTTACAATATATATTCAGTGAAGCACTTTGAGACATCTCAATGATGTCACAAGGCACTATATCAAATGCAAGGTTTATTATTAAACTGTAAATTTGCAGTCCCTTAAACAGGTTTGTATGATGCACCTTTATTATAGGCGTGAAATAATAATAAGATTTACTGTAAAGTATAGCTTTTTGAAAGACAACAAAATCTACTAGAAGTTAATTTTTTTATAAAAACACACACATTCCCTTCAGACACAGAGGATCCTCAATAATTAGATATATTCTTTTTTGATTCATCTTATTGTCTCTCCAACTGTTTTCCCCTCTCCTATCTCTGCTGAAAGTCTCTCCTCAGTCACTGGTTGCGGTATGGTTTCACAATGCTGGCCATCCTCTAGTAACTCACTCAAATGAGTATCAATGTGTGAGCCTCAACAATGAGCGGCAAAAGGCTGTTAAATCCCTGGGGAGAAATCACAGCAAAGACCAATCCCATACCCATTCAAGGAAGCAATGAACATGTAGACACATTTTCAACAGGGGGCAGCGGGTAATGTGCAGGCACATGTTTCTCTGGGGACAGGGAAAAGTGCAGCGGTGCGGAGAAGAATGTGTGGCTACATTTTCCAACATGGATCATCAGCACGAATGGGAACTCTGACTGATACTTCACCCACAAAACATACAATTAATTCACTTTACAGTATATTCTGTGAAGCGCAGTGAGACATCTCAAAGACATGATACAGCGTTATATCAAATGCAAGGATTATTATTATTATTATTGTTATTATATTCCCTCTCCTCCCCAAGGATTCCTAGGCCAATAAAAGTAGCCGGTCCATACCCAAGCTGAGATCAGCAAAGTTCAGCACAGATTTCTTTTCAAATGTGGTGCATGCCCCACAATATGAGCTTCAACCCTTCACCTAGGTTTCTCAATAAAACGTACTGTGACGGAGTATGCTTTTGCAATGAAATATAAACTGACAATTTTTACTGTGGGCAGTAAAATAACACTTTATGATTTCACAATAACTCTTCCGGTATCACAGCTGCCCCCTCAGGACACCGGGTGGAAGAATAACTACTTTCAGGGTTTAAATGTGAAATAAATCAATATGGTTTTGACAAGAAATAAGTTACGCTTTGTTTGCACATGTGGACTAAATGAAATATGTGACGGACAATTCTAAAATCTCTCTTTAAAAGACTGAAATGGTAAATAAAAGACCCTTTACTCTGCCTCACAACAGAAAGCGATTAATATCCTGACTTGATCTTTGTGTTTTTTCTGAAAGGAAAAGTATGCGTCAGAAATAGTGGGATCTGATCTGAGAACTTTACATTCGCCTTAAATTATATTTAAGACTTGAGAGGCGCAATATAAATCCAAGTTGTTGTTGTTATTGTTCTTACCCCCTTTCCCTCAATTTTCTTCCCCCGTTTCCTGAAGGTGCTGAATCTTCATGAAGACCAGACACGCTTTGATATCACGCCTATGTGATGGTTCTTCATGCATTAAAGAGTATTGGCAAGCTAAACTACCACCTCACCCAACGCCCACACAGAAACATGTTCTACCAGAGGTCACAAGGTAGCCATCATTGACCATAAATTCCATTTAATTTTAGCAAGTAATCCATTTTGTCTTAAACATACGAACGGGCAGAAGTGTGGAAAATTTTTTAATGCAATTTAGAAAACTGCAGAATTCCAGGTCTCTGGAATGCAAACTCTGGCTGATTTTTCCCCACCCTAGCCCAGGAGCACCGACACCAATTGATATTCTGAAAATGGGTGAGACAGGTACTCAGCACAGCCCTGGGACCTCACAGGTGTGTGTGACTCACTTTTACTGCAGGCAGTGAAATGCTTCCTTGAGAAAAAATTACATTTAAAAACTGAAATGAAACCATCTCATGCAAAATTGACGGCAGCCACAAAAACCACAAAACGTTGAGCATATTAACTCCTTAACTTTGAAAAAATAGAAAAACTTTGGCTCTCTAAAATAGAAATAATCATCTGAAACACTAAACAGTCTCTTCTAAACGCGTAGGTAAACATTTTATAGAACAATGATGAACCTCAGTTCTATAATAAGCGATCACACAATTTAATACTCATGTAGCTATGTAAATCTAAGCTATATGAGGTTCAAAAAACATTGTCTTAAAATTTGAAACCAAGCAAATTAAGAGTGAATTTATGAATTTTCCAAAATTCTGCACTTAAGACACTGGTTTTAAGGCAAAACCTGTAAGAATTTCGGGTCTCTGGATTCCGCTCTGGCTGTTTTGACGTTAGCCAGCTGTCTGTGTCCAGCTGGCTCTCAGGACTGTATAGAATTACATAGAAAGATACTATCAATGATTTAATTGCATCAATTTTGTTACCAGTCCTTTGGTTGAGGAATTGACCCTCCTTCAGTTTCTGTGCAATTGGTCAGGACTAAAGTGAAAAATAATAATACTACTACAAATAATAACAACAACAATAATAATCCTTGAATTTGATATAGTGCCTTATCACGTCTTTGAGACGTCTCAAAGCACTTCACAGAATATACTGTAAAGTGAATTGACTGTATACTTTTGTGAGTGAAACGCAATACTCTCCCATGGTTGTTTCAAAAGTAACCAATGAACGCTGAAAGTAGTTTAGCAACCCTAATCTCTAGTGCACATTGTTTAGAATATAATCACAAAGTTTCTGTGAAGTATTTCTCAACTCCAGACAGGATTGTGGAGTCCTGTAGCTCAGTGGTTAGAGCACTCGATTCTAGGCAGGGCAAAACCTTGGGCAAGTTTCCTTACTCCACACAGAGCCTAATAATAATCCCTCCAAAAAACAAAACAATAATAAATTGGTCATTTTCAATCCACAACTGTTTGTGGGACACTGCTGTGCAATTGGCTGCCGAGTTTCGCTCACAAATATACGGTTAATCCACTTTACAGCACATTCTGTGAAGCACTTTGAGACGACTAGAAGACGTGAAAAGCGCTATATCAAATGCAAGGATTATTATATCATTATTATTATTATTATTATTATATTATTATATTATCATTAGTTCATTTAACTTCATATATTGTTTCAAAAGTCCGATTGAAACTGAATCTTCTCTTTACGTTGATCATATAATTTCAAACCATAATATCCACACATCTTTTTCCTGGTAAATCTTTTTATTTCTTAGCCATTTAAAAAAAAAGTTGAAGAAGTATTTCTTTTAACATGGCATTAATCCGGAGAGATGTTTGAATAGATTATTTTCGATTTCAGATACAGGAATCTTCCTGAAAGTCAATAACAGTATTTTGGCTGGAAAGACAGCTTCACTTTCTACATTTAGTTACAAAAAGGATCTTCCCTCAGTTATAACCAGTGCATCGTTAACCTGCAATGGTGTATTTAACAGTAAACATTGTTTCGGAAGAGCTAAAGCTTGTTAGGAACCGTGAGGTTGCAAGCTCATACACGTTCTCTCTCTATCTAGATAAATAAATATTCTTTAAGAAGGCTTTATCGGTTAAAGTATAAACTGGGGTTTAGTCAGACATATTTAAATGCATGTAATTTTGGGCTCCACTAGTTTTAGAGAAATCTTCAAGTTAATGTTATACACACAATAAATTTTGCTTTATTATTTGGACGACATTGAAGTACATTTCCAAAAGATTGTGGTTAAAAAAGAGTTGATTGTACCATAATTAATATAATTTCTAGCCCATCTAAACTGAGGAATATTTGATCATAGATAACAATAGACTGATTAGGAACATTTGCTCAGATTTTCAGCGTTACTGTGAGAGGTCAAGGGGGTGGTGGGGGGGGGCTAATGTGAACCCAAACTATCAATACAGGAATGATCTGTCCTGAGGTGAGACTGAGCAAACTCAATGAAACTGAGTATGTCCTAGTTCCCTTCCTTTGCGGAGCCTAAATACAGAAAATATCTGCACATTGGCTGCTACCACTTCTGATGACTCAGTGTAAATAGCAGGAATCTATCTCATGAATGAAAGCTGTTGTAGAAAAAATATATTTTTATAAATAGGCATCAAAATAAGGAATTCTAGATTATACGCTAAAATGTAAGAAATATGAGTTATTGTAAAACGGTCATTAACAATAAACCCTATGAATAGCTTGGTGCCTCAAAAAATCTCTGTTAGACAAACTTTGAATCTAAAGGTTGGTTGCCTGTCCGTAAATGTATTGAACTGCAAGCTTACACGTTCTTATAAGAACCTAGCAGAGAATGCCTCATTTTGATCTATAAGAAGAGAAGGAAGGTTGGTCCACATTCTTCCGAGAGTGACCCAAATCTACTCTTATTAGAGGAATCATCTCCTTTACACAGCTTTGGGAAGTACTTCAGGGAACCAGCCATCAAGCCCAGTGAGACACTTTGCTGACTCTCTGAGGCCCTTCCCACACCACTTCTCTCTCTGACATTGTTGCCAATATAACCCAGTGAAGTAACAAAATGCATCTTTGCGGGGATTATATTTGCGCAGATGTAAGTGTTCAAAAAACTGAAATAATTGTTAAGCTTCCTCCAGTTGTTAACTCCCATTGCCCAACTCTATGAGCTGTACACTTCCTTTTGTCAATAATAATAATCCTTGCATTTGATATAGCGCTTTTCACGTCTTATCAACGTCTCAAAGAGCTTCACAGAATATCCTGTAAAGTGAATTGAATATATATTTGTGGGCGAAACGCGTCAGCTAATTGCGCACAGCAGTGTCCCACAAACAGTCGTGGATTGAAATGATCAATTTATTATTGTTTTTTTTGAGGGATTATTATCAGGCGTGTGGAGTAAGGAAACTTGCCCAAGGTTTCACCTCAATGGCAAATAGTAACAAATGCTAGTACTCTGGTTTTAACACACAGATTATATTCCACCATTAGTAATAGTATCAATCGATGGGGAAAAAGTTGGGGGGATCCTTTTTTCTGCAATTCTTCTAAATGTATTATTTTCCAGTTGTTTCCCTCCACTGCCAAGAAGAACAGTATATTATTCTGCTCCTTGGTTAGGCTTTACAGACATTTTCCCTGGTTCTCCTCTCTCCCCCTCTGTGCCGACCCCACTTTCATAATTACATTTAAAAAATGTATTTGTTGCTGGATCTTGTGTTGCAGCAGTCAGGTGTTTGGGCTCCATCTAGTGGATATATTTATTTTTCACCCAAATCAAAAAAAATGCAGAATCTTAAACCATCGAAAGGCTACAACTTTAAACAGTGAGGAACTATGAGAATAATCTATTTAGAAACAGGTTTGTTGCGGAATAAATTGTCCTTAATATTACTGGGTTAAAATTTGTACCCACTTTCCTTTCAGATGATAACTTGTCATGTCCCAGATTGCTACTTTTGTATGAACCAGACTTACACTCAATTTAAATCAAACAATATTACAATTAGGAAACCCTCCCAAGTGAAAATTGTGTTGAAAAATTCTGCAAATTTAATATGGAGGCCTCTTGACTTTCAATCTGTATCTTCTCTTGGAATTTAAGACTATTTCTTGTTCAGTTGGAAATTAAGTTTCTCTGCTTGTGAGTCAAGTGGAAGAGAACCATATTGTACTTTAATTCATTTTAGCTGTGTGGAAATCGCTTTTCTTTTTACTGGGTTATTAATACGTTTGATTCCATGATTGAGTTTGACTCTAGACAAAGGCGTCATAGGATAAAGTTGGTGCAAAGTGACACAAAAGCATTGAAACTAATAGTTATTATAATTCATTGCTATATTCGAATTAATTTCTATACAATTATTATAATCAAGTTTTAAATGTAATGTTTTTTACTGAACTGCTTCAATATTTGTATGGGCAGGAATGAGCAAAACTAAATGTGGTTTACATAGTGAATTTTCACAACTGTACACCACACAAATGTTTGCCAGTGTGTATTAATTACATGCTAGAGAAAATAGACGTCATATTCGATTTACTACATATTAAATTAACTTCCTCTGCCTAAATGCTGTAAAAGGAGAATATTTCTATGCAATTTCGCATGTATATATGGAACCCTCTGTCATGTAAGGTCATCAAGCATGGCAATCGGTTTCCTTGTATCAGAGAACTAGCGACGATAAAAAGCTTCCTAAAAAAGATTAAGTAAATCTACTTTTATATAATTTTAGAAATTGATATAAATCACATCAAAATTAAACTCCAATAAGGAAAAGGAAATCTAAACATTAATAACCAATTCTACTTTTAATCTCTTTTTTTTAATTCAGTCAACCAATAAAAGTTGAAGAGACAAAATTATTTTAATAAAATGTTATCTTTTGATTTTAAAATGTTAAGCATTTTATTCCTTCCTCCTCAGAGATGCACGGCATTTTTACATTAGTTACACTATGTAGCAAAATATGAAAAAAAAATTAAAATAGAAAATATACATTACATATTCAGTGAATGAACAGAGCTACATTATTAACTGAAATCGATCAAAAACTTCAGATTCACGATAAACTTTGCCTTTTTTAAACTCCAAGTGGTCTCGCAATACACACTGGTACATTTTCCCCCAGAAATTAAGTAATTAAAAATTTTAAAAGATCTTTTGTGATCCGCCGACTCTAAGACAACTTAAATTACTACCACAAGAGCTGTATTATATTTATGGTGAATGCAATACACAACTTTAAATATACCTTTAGGTTCGTGCAGTTACCACCTGTGCCTCTAGTGTAGAAAGCTTTAAAGTATTCATTAAAAACTTTGTAGACATACACACCTAGCATTTTGCTGAGCTCTGCGTTGTGGAGATCAGGGTTCTGGATTGCAAGTTTCTTCCTCTCGTCCTTTGCCCACACCATGAAAGCATTCATGGGTCTTCGGATTCGAGGCTCAGTTTTGTTCCTGGCTGGAGATTCGTGAGCGGTGATCCCAGCCCTGGGCTTCCCTTCCCCTGGAGGACAGCCCAGATCCTCCGTCCACGAGTAAGGGCTCATCAGTGCCATCGCTCTAGATCGGATCACTTTTGTCAAAAATAATCCGTGCAACTTCGCGAAATGTAAGAGTAGAATTAAATTACAATGGGTGCTGATGCTTTAAGCTTGAGAGATCAAGTCTCAGATCAGGAAGAGAGTCCCAGATTCATTTATTCCCTCAGTGTCAGTCGATGTCAACTTTATCCAATGAAGTGGTTTGCAATAGAAGCTCCTCCCCTGAACTGCTGCAATCAAACTGCTCTGACTTGAAACAACCAAGTCAAAACTGTAGAGCAGAAAAAGGAGTGTTCCCTTTCGACCCTTCATCTTACCAGCAAGTTATTTTTCCACGAGAAACTGTTTGAAGTGACAACAAATTTGACTTCAATTTTCTTTTACAAACATTGCTGCAGGCTATTGTGACTACATTCATTAACTGAATTACTTACATTGCACTTATCACTGTGGTGTAAGGAACAAGCAGAAATATCAACACGAACACTCGTTCTTAAGTTGCACTGTCTTCCATCCCACTGTTGCAGCAATTGTCCAATTGGCACAGAGGTAAATTGCTCTTAAGTGAGATGTAAAAGAGTGTATTTTCACTAGCTTTATTTGATTTGTTTAGCATTTAACATGACCATTGATTTATATCTGTATTTCATAGTTTTAAATTTGCAAGAACTTAAAATATATATTCATGTTTGAATAGATCAATTTCATAAATCTAAGTGGTATATTTCTACATTAGAATATCTTTCAGTTTGGATTTTAACAGGAGAACCATTACGGGGTTCATATTCTATCTGCTGTGTCATAGCTGCATCAATACTGTGGATTTCGCCGAGCACATTTTTTAATAGGGATTGTGAACATAAGAATAATTCTCATCACTGAATCTGTGTAAAAATATAACCAAGTACAACCACCGATCATTGGGATGGACTGTTTACTGATAATTACCATTTAACTGGAGAGACGGTTGCGAAACAAGGACATTATTCACCCCAATTCATGTTTCTTTATCTCGCTGATAATGCCAGAATTCTGATGTATAAAATATTTCATTGGAGGTCACGTTATGTTTTTTTTTATCCTGCAAAGAGCAGAGTTGATAGATCAGGCAAGATGAAGTATTAAGAACAATTGTTGTGATGAGTATCCTAATGATTTATCTCCATGCTATTCACCAGAATCATTTCAGTTACAAAGAATTTAGCAGTGATCAGTTTTTAGCCAATTTATATCCCGGTCGGGTTTTTTCTGACCAAGAAATTCACACTTCAAATTTATACTTGAATTTCTCTGCTGAGATCTGTTAAGAACAACCAGTGTGAATTGGTTTGTGCACATTAACTGATAATAGCAAACGCTCTGGAAGCACAATCCACACGCAAGATTCCACTGTAAATCCTCATTTATAGTAAGTTCTCATAAGGTAAAAATTCAATTAAAAAATGCCTTTCACCCATCATCTCAAAACCCACAAAATATTCTTATGCCTGTGATATGTATTACAAGTAGAAAACAGTAAAGTAGCATTTTAAATATGTTTGATACAATTTCCATAATATGAATTAAAGTTAAGATTTTCTTCATTAGCGTTGGTCTGGTCAGATTTATTTAAAATATTAGATTATACTCGTATACAAACCAGAACAGAAGTTTGTAAGAATTACAGGAAGAAAAGTGGCTATACAAGCTCTGATCTATTACAATTTATTCAGAACAAATATTAAATCTGACCCACTCTGCCCACTTTTAGCTACAACGTGTCATGAGAGTTGTGGAAAGCATTGAATTCATAGATCAAGAGGACAAAACCAGTTAAAAAGGAGAGTTACACTCAAAATTGTCCCTGCTCAAGGTGTTGTTAGAAAACGTTGTGTAAACTAGCAACAGAGTCCCTTTGTACATAAAACAAAGTAAAAATATTTAAGCCAAATCTGCTGGAGTCACATCACTGGGACATTCATCAGCAAGGCATGCAGAAACAGAAACTGCAGCAAGTTCCACCTACATTGTCATGACGTTTCTGGAGGTGCTGTACTGCATGTTTGAACTAGTGAGAAGGTATTTTTAAGGTTCCTAAATTGCCAACATGATGATGTCAATTCTGCTGTCATTTTACAACTATTTCGCCCACAAAATATACATTAATTCACTTTACAATATGTTCTGTGAAGCGCTTTGTGACGTCTCAAAGACGTGATAAGGCACTATATCAAATGCAAGGATTATTATTATTATCGTATAAAGTATACAATCATTTACAATCACATATTTTTCAAAGTAGGAAAACTTGTACAATTTGTGTGCAGTGTAGAACAACAACTTGCATTTATAGAAAGGAGATTTTATTATCGTCACAATTTCTGTTCCCAATCAGATGTGGCAGACAGGACAGCAATCTACCCCGTTTTCAAGCAGTTGAATTGCTTGCCGATACTCCACACTCATTGTTAAGGCTTACACATGAAGAATAGTCGTTTGGGTGAGGTACTGGAGGGTGACTAGTGTTCATGAAACCATATCCACCAAAAGGCTAACCTCTTCTGGAGAGGAAGAATTGAAGAAACTTTTGTGACATTTTACAACACATTTTGAAAACCGATTCCAAGTCTGTTTTCTAATGAGGTAATGCCCAACCTCTTTAATCTCCCCACATAAATTGAAGACTTGTAGAACTTGCATCTTGGCAGCTCACCTTTTTACTTTCTCATTATTTATTATGAATACCTGCACGGTTGAGAACAACAACAATAATGTAATCTTGTTGTTATTGTCAATCATGAAGGTATTCATAATAAATAATAATATTGCATTTGATATAGCACCTTATCACGTTGTTGAGACTTCTCAAAAACTTCACAATATACTGTATATTTTAAGTACCAAATCTTGTGTATTCTGGCATTAAGATCCTATAATTAGAGGCCCGTAATAGCTTATTGTAGATTAATAAGCTAAACAGCGGCGAGTGGCATGCTAAATCCTTTACTTCACCCCAGAACATCCAAACAAATAACATTTCCATTGTTGAGAAGTGGACTTGTTACCATTATCTCAATGTTTTCATTTGGTGATGGAAGCATTAACCAGGGCTTTCTCTGCGTCCTTGACCTCTCTGCTGTCTTCGACGCGGTCGACCATTCCATCCTATCCTCAGGCTCTATTCTTTGCCCTCTTTTCTTTAATATTTACATGCTACCACTCAAGCAACGTCACCCACAGGCATGGGGATAACTTCTACAAATATGTGGATGACACCCAACTCTCTCTCTGCATCTACCCTCTATTCCAGGACCACTGCTTTTCTGACTGATTGCCTGTTGGACACCAAGTCGTAGATGAGAGCTAACTTTCCCCACTTCAATGCCGACAAAACAGGCTGTCCTGCTTGGCTCCCATCAACGTCTTCTCACCACAGCATCAATTTACACGGTGCACACACCGTCTCACAGCCAGTGTGGAATCTCGGTCACTTATTCATCTTTTAAATTACACATCTCTGCTCACTGGACTTCCCAACTATTCTTCCCTACAAGCTGCAATCCATCCAGAACTCTGCAGCTCATATCCTCTCCCAAACTAGGCTCCGTGAGCTTATCATCCCCAACCCTGACCGGCTCCACTGGCTCCCCATCCCCCAGAGGATGGAGTTCAAGATCCTTATCCTCACTTTTAAATCCCTCTTGCCCCACCCTTCCTCTGTAACCTTCTTGAACCCTACCAACCCACCCGCTTGCTCCAGTCAGCAGGCAATGGTCTGTTTCACATCCCCCACCTTGCCCAACCCATCATCGGCGGTCAGGCTTCTAACCTTTCTGCCCCACCCTCTGGAATTCCATCTCGGAGTTCCTTCACCTCGTCTCCTTCATCACTTCCTTCAAGTACAACATCATTTCAAGATCTTACTCTTTGGCTGTCATCTTCCCCTCCCTCCACCGCCTCAACTGTCCAGCATCCTCTCAACATGAAAGCCGCTTTATTAGTTCAGGAGTAGCATAGTATGAGGAAGGGCGTTAGCAGTTAACACAAAACTTGTGGTTTTCACCAGGTGTACAATAGCTCCTGGAATTGCACAGCAACATTTCATATCATTCCCAAAAGGAATACCACTAGCAAAGACTTGATCAATTCTCCTGCCTGAAGAAGCTTTTCTAAAAAATGCCTTCTGTGTATAATTTAAACAAAGTACACATATTACTTGCTAAACCAGGTTTGCAACGACGTTGAACTTTAGGGAACTGGTCTTCCTTCCCTCATTACACTAGCTCCACCCTGTTGTTATGCCACCGAACAACATGTAAAGCAATATTTATATACAACTGCAGAAAATCTATCACACCATTGCAAAATGTACCAAAAGTAAGGTACAGGCGTCATTTCTTTCTACAATAAGCTATTACGTGCCTCTAATTATAGGATCTTAATGCCAGAATACACAAGATTTGGTATTTATAATATGCATTTAGCAAAGAAAAGTTAATAGTTTATTTACCCAAAACATAAGTGCTCAAAGTTAATATGTCAAAGGCTCAGAAAGTGAAAAAAATTACATTTGTAGAATTTAATATTCGCTATTACTTAGGGTCACATTTAATTATAACTGATGTACACAACAGCACTGGAAATATTTCAGACATAAGCTGTACTTTTAAATTTACATGTTGTGGTTGTAGCATCACCAATTCTCAGACATCATAGGAGATGTCAGGAATAAAGAAAGTCCTTTGGCCCATTTGATTTCATATTTCCAGAAACTGGACTGAACCAGGGCTTCTGAGTATTAGGCAAGAATTCTACCCTTGAATCACTATCACAGTAATTAATTAACACTAGCCTGTTTATTTATTTATCTTTTTTTTTAAGTGTGCTTTCCTAGAGTCTAGTTAACTCCAGAGAGATCCCATACCATCCTCCCCCACGGATTAATTTTTAAAAAAGATTCATATTTTATCATTCTCAAACATTATGGATCCGAGTTTCAACTCTCTAGACCCAAGTCTGCTGTTCAACCAATCAAACCACACCAGACATTGTACATGCCTATGAACACTACTAAAACGTTAGTTGTCATGACTGAGCATGATTCAGGTTCAGTGGCACATATTTACACGTCAAATGTCCCCAGCACATGTTCTCGTCTGATGAGACTGAACCAAAATAATGCTCTGCATTTGGCAACTTTAATCTGAGCACAATGAGTCAGCTAGTTTGCGATCATGATAAACTTTCTCAAGGCTTCACACCTGTGGCTCTTGCACCTTGGGATTCACACCTCAGGTCAATTGAATAGTCAAAGTTTGGGTTTTAATTTATTTACATTGTCTGGGACGAGCTTATTTTATTGAGTCAAAAAAACAAATGGGGTCGACGATGGAAGAAAATGATTTAAGGTGGAGACGCTTGCCATGAGTTGAGTGAGGAATTTTCAGAGAAAGAACTTGACAACTACCAGGGTAAAGCTCACCTCAATGCCAGCCTCTGGGGCTCCCAGTGTGCTCTTTATTTAGCTGACTATCGCAGTCCTACTTCCGAAGACAATTTTTTGAGCATCTATTTCCCTTAACTCTTTCAAACCTCCCTCTCCCCACTTTAATGCAACATCCGTGCTCTCTGTGTAAAAAGACGCTCTACTGTAGACCACTCACCTGTTGGTCACAACTCATAATCTTTGTTATTCTCACTAGCTCAAGGTCTGACTGGAAGAGTCATATATTCACCTTTCCATGAACTGAATGTTGCAGGAATTCCCCTCTTCGGCCTTTAAAGTGTGCAATTGTCCATTTCTCTGCCCTTTTGTTTTAGTATTTTTGACTTGCGTTAAGGAGTGGGAATGGTCAGAACAGCATTAAACACAGACAGCTTGTCTATAGGTGCATTTTCTCCATGTGTCAGGCCTGTTTATTTGTATTTCATCACCCCCAGTTAATGAAAATATCAATGTCAGCCCTTTAGTTCACATATGAATTTCAAAGAAAAGATTCATAAAATTACCTCATATACTAACTATTCCTTGCTCTAAAAATGAACTAACTGCACTTACTTCAGGACATTCACCACAACTTCAAATGTTTCTCAAACATTTTATTTTGTAGAACGAATACAGTTTGATTTAGTGGGCAAACAAATAAATTGTGTTAATCCATTTGTTTTTTCATCATCTTAATTTCAAATAGGTTTTTGAATATGTTTAAGTATTCATTCAACGCTTTCCGGTAAAAAAAAATTAAAGAGGTTTACTGAACCTCTAACTCTTTTTGCTTTTTATTTCCTTTTTTCCTTTTCCTTTGTGTCAAGATATGGCTGGATTGAACGTCCTCCTTATCTTCCACAGATGTTTCCTTTTTCTTATTCTTTTTGGTCTTATTGTGCTTTGCCGTTGAATTGTTTACTGCTGCTGTGCATTGATCTTGGGTCTCCACTAAATCAGCCTCATCCAAAGTGCAAACATTGTGATCAAGACCCACTGAATCACTGTTTTTCACTTTCCTTTGTTTCTTTGATTTCTTCTTAATCTGATGATTTTCCTTAACTGAGGAGATTTCCATTTCCCCAATGCCATTTAAACTCATCTCTACTTCTGTATTTTTGGCTTGTTTTATCGACAATTGATCACAGGCATAGGTTTCTTCAGTTTCTTTTTTGTTGCGCTTTTTCTTCTTTTTGGATTTTGCTTTATACTCAGCCAAATCTCTTTCATTTTGAGGTATATTGTCCACATTGGTTTGATGAGGTTCCTTCACTACTTTAGATTTCTTGAGTTCAATCATCTTTTGGGCAAAGTACTCCTGCATTGAAAGAGTACTTGTCACAGTGTTTGATTCAGCCTCTGGCTCATTAGACTTTGGATCACCAAGAGTTTCCGCATTGCCACTGTCCTGAAAAAACACAAATGAACACTGTGAATGACCCATTAGAACCAAAAATAAACTGTTCAATCTCTTCTGCTCATCAGTTAATGGAGGCAAGCCCAGTTAAAACTTACAAATGCTTCAGTTTTCTTACAGAAACTGCTAACAAGTTTATTATAGATCCTAGCTCTGATGCATGCATGGTTCATACTGATTCCAGTCTGTTATTTGTACTAATCTACAGACACAAATACAAAAGGTAATGAGAAACAAATACAGGATGACTCCTTTACAAAGCACCTCACTATACTTTGTTTTAACTGGGATCTCCAGTGGACCTCTAGGTATTGTATGGCTGGTACAACTGCAGTGCAAAATGACCATCTTTCTGCACATGTGTACACAAAGACACTAGAAACTCTCATAAGAGCAGTCCCTTAACCCAGCGACTGACTAGTTGGCTACCAAGCACTCTGGGATGCCCACCAGTGTGAAGGGCGCTATATAAATGCAAGCTGTTGTTGTACCTACACTACGCAGGAAGCCCACAATTCAATGCCAGAAGTCAGTGGTGACGTCAATAGCACGGACCCATTTTAACATGTTGCCTAATTTTTTTTACCCCCAAAACTGCATTATAACGGAGTCACCTGAACCATTTTTAAATTCATCCATTAATATTGAGATCAATGAATGGATTAATACAACATTTACATTGTGAGTAAAAACCTTATGAAAACCATTATGCCGTAAAAGCCATATCTCGTCTTTTGAGATTTGTAGAACTAAAAACTAAAAATTGAATTTCTATTGTGGTTAGAGTACAACTCAAGAGTACTTTTTTATTTAAGGCTGGATGATGCTGTGAGGTGTATAATTGCCCTTTCATCACTAGTTTTAGCTTTGATTAGACTCAGGATTGATGGACGACGTCACCTCTGTCTCACGCCTGCACAGATAACAAAGACATTTTGGCAAACTCAAACCTGTTTATAGCAAGCATGATTCTACAGAACACAACTAGCCACAATCTACCACTAACCCAAGCCTCTCTCAGGGAGCTGGCAAGATTCCCGAGTGTATGAAATAAGAAAATTTACCATGCAGTTAAGGAATGACCACAAAAGATGGGGGTTAAGGCATAGCTGTTCTCAAAAGAATTCAGCATTTATACAGAAGATTTTATTTTAGCAAAGGTTCTGCCTATTATAAAATTATTATTGATGGTTATTTACCATTGATAACTTGCAGTTATGTGATCAATGTCAAAATCTAGGCTTATATACAATTATTTCATTGAATGGATATTTACCGATTAAACTTAAATATGAAACAAGGAAGCCAAAATTAAATAGTTTGTGCTACTTTTGGCGCATTTGCTGAAAATTATGTACTGAGCAAAACAGTTACGACCAAAAAACACATCTCAGATCATTTTTTGCATCTCCAAAATATGCTGCATAGGCCTTTATCATCCATATGTGTACCACCAATATCAACTACCTTTGGTTTCCAAAGATAAACATCTCACAAGGGCACTGTGCATTGCATGATGCTCATGTTAAAAATTGCAAATTGCCCACATCAGGCTGAAACAATAAATACATTTGATTGAAGACAAGGATTTTAGCTGCTGTTGGCCTAATGCATGGCTACACTCAAAGAATAGAGGCCTGTAGCTTCAAAAGCTTTGCTCTATCTGAGCAGGGCTGAACGATAACTGGGTGAGTGTTATGGATAAGAACAGCGTTTAAATGCTGACCAAAATCCACTGTTTGCCATCCATATGTTTACCAGCATTCACCTGTAATGCTGTATTGTAAGCACACCACAGCAAAATAACACAGGGATTAATAGAGATTTGAGCACAGTACAAAGAATCTGCAAGTTCCATGGTTTTACATAATCGATATCATCAGCAAATATCAGAACTGGTCAAAAAAAAACCTGTCTGAAGCAGTTGGCATGGGCACAAAAGGAGACTTCATATCTCAGTGAAGGCTTGTGGCCAGATGTATCAAACCGCACTGACGCCAACTCTAGAGGCGGCAAAGTGCTGGAGAATCGCAACGTCTGGCTGCAAAAATTGAACAATGATCAAGAACAGCCAAACTCTGTTCTGTTTGACGACAACAGGAATAATTTACATGTATATAATGCCTTTCAAGTCAGGAGAACGTCACAAAGTGCATCATACAACTGACTCCACACGAACTAAGAGATCTTAGAAGAAGGATGAGGCGAGGCCATGGAGACATTTGAATGTGAAGACAAGAATCTTGAATTCAATCCACTGGGGCTGGGAAGTGAAGATGCTAGGACTGACTGACAGAATGAAGCCAGGATAGAGCTATGAAGGTGGATCAGGGAAGAGAGATGGTGAAGAAGGTTGGAGTAATTGATAGTATCAAAAGCAGCAGAGATTTAGGAGGACAAGGTTGTAGAAGGCGATTTGGTCATTCATGAAAGGAGAGAACACCATGGTGACCTTGAGCATGGCAGATATTTACATTTGACCTCCCTTTCTGCCATCTTTCACCCACTCACCCCCAACCTGGATTGGGACAGCCTCCTGAATTGAAAGGCGCTATATAAATCTGAATTTGTATTGCATTATGCAAGCTTGGAAACTTTGCTTTGACCATAGTGAATGGCATGTAGCAGAACTGGGACAAAAATTATCTTTAGTACTAGTGTAACAGACACTTGTGTATTAGCAACTATCATATTGTCTGAAACTAAAAAGAAACAAATGGTAGATTGCACAAATGATTAAAAATTCCAAAAAATATGCAGGACACATTTAGATGAATTAAAAACAATGAAACACTCCCTCGGTGACATTAACCAAAGGCATGGGGTCCACTTCCACATATAAATGGATGACATCTTTACCTTCGATTCCAGGATCACTGTTTGCCTGTTAGAATGCAATAAATCCCACTGGTCAATTTAAGGAATAACTCTAAGGAATGGGATACGAATCAATGGCCAAAATGGCAAGATTTCAATCTCCTATTTAAGCACATTCTCAGAGTTGGTTGGAGTTCTTCACTTCTGACTGACATGTAAAAACAAATCTCATGAGATAGACAATAACTATTGTTCCACCTTCTGGACTAATTAAAGAAATTGAATTGTTCTGGAATTCTGCATTATAGGGCAATCTTATGATGCCGAGGTAGAACAGGTTCACTTACAACATAGATAATCTGTGAACCCATGTTTACAGGAAGTTCCGGTGCAAACTGTTTGGCTTCCTGTGCATGCACTCGGCGTGCAAAAAACAGCTGTCAGCCAACAACTGCTCTTGTGAATGTAAGCCGGAAATGATGTCAGCAACAAGACGATCTAGAAACAGGGAAATCAGCCATTTTTCTTCATGGGTTTGTTATAATTTGGTCTCCAATTTCACAGACACAATTTTATGGACTTGAAACAGTATTATAACAGGGTTCCCTTAGACATATGAATTTCAGCAATGATGCAATTATCACATACCAGAAACAAAAATTACTGTTTATGGTTTGATCTGATACTCAAATAAACAATTAAGCTACATTAAAAGTCAGATGGATTATTTTCTGATTAAAAATGGGATTAAAGGTTATAACGATTTAGATGACCAAATTGATCAAATAATCTACAAAATATAATGGTTTTCCTCTGTTTGAACTGCAGGAATTTCATCTGGGGAATGTAAGTGTTGATTCAAATCCTATAATATAGAACTTTACAGCACAGAACATGGCCTTTCAGCCCATTGTGAAAGTGTAACCAATTCAGTCCCATTTACCTTTTCCTCCTACACGTTCAAATTATTCCTTTTTAGATATTTAATTACTTCCCTCTTTTGACAACTAATATGGAATTCTACATTGTGGGCAAAATCATAATCTTGATAAGGAGATTGGTTCAATTTTTTTACCCTAAAGTAATACTGGTAATTCAAATAATCAGTGTCAAATGTACAGCATATGTGTTGCTATAAAGAAAACATTATTTAGAGATCTTCACAACTCAGAAGAGCCAACAAAGACTCCCTATAGTTGACAGCAATTAGAAGTGAAGTGTTTGAGATGTTGATAAGCTACAGCAAATGCAAGGATGATTACTTTATGATTATTCCTGTTATATATAGGCTTGAAGTCTGAAATCCACATGCCTTAAAACCACTGTCTTAAACATCATACAGAATTTTTAAAAATTCCTAAATTATATCTCAATTTTGAGGCCTGTTTCACTCTCAAACCAGCTCCCATTAACTTCTGATGATGTAGAATGCAAATTCTCTTTGGTGTGTAATATTGTGGAACACACTCAGACACTTACAGAGAGACACACTCACAAAGTAAGACTAAGTAAGTTGGGCTTGTTCATACTGGAAAAGAGAAGATTGAGAGCAGATATGATTGCAGTCTTCAAGATTCTAAAGGGGCTACACAATATAGATCATGACAGGCTGTTTCAACTAGTCCAGAATAGTAAAACCAGAGGACATGGCCTGTGATTGAAGTGGGGGGTAAATTCAGTACGAATCTACGGAAACACTATTTCAGTGAGCGAATAGTGAACCTTTGGAACAGGCTCCCTAAGGAGAAGGTTAAAGCAGGAAATGTTGATTCTTTCAAACACAGAAGAGATAGTTTTCTTTTAGGAAATAACATTATGGGATATAGTACATAGGTAGATTGGGACATATGTGCATGCGGCTGCTAGGAAGGAGGAAGGCGAACTAGATGGACCTTGGTCTTTCGTTCATCTATCATTTCTTATGTTCAAACAGACGTAGAGCAGCTCCTTCCTGCAACCACCCAACCCTCCAAATGCAGAAGAAAGACACAGCAACTTGAAAATGATCACCAATAATGACTTGCTCACCACAGCTCATCATGCTTACATGATCCAGGAACAGGACGAAAGCCAAAAAAGCTCTCTGCAAAAACAGCTTCTGGCATTAGTTACACAACAGTAATTGTTTTGATCTCTGAAACAGTAATTCCAGTAGCATATAGCTGAATTTATGG